CGGGATGCAACCCAGTCCTCCAGATTATCCTTTTTCCCAGCATTCCTCAGGTATTGGTTGAGGCTAGCACAACGTGGTTACCTCTTTTTTCTTTTCTTTTCCTTTTCATTTTTCTTCCTTTTATTGAATATACAAAAATACAATTTTCAGGAAGGGGGAAGCGGTCAATCAAATGGCTGCCATTCAACACAGTGGAAAGAATCAGGCGGTGGTGGTGGGATTCGAACTCACAACCTCGGGGTGATAATTTGGTGACCGTACCACCCACCGAGCCATCACTGCCATTCGCGCCTCAAGCTAATACGCCGTCCGTGGTTAAACAGTCTTTTGAGTCCTTCCCCCGATCAAGGGTATCCAATGCAACTGAGGCCGCTTCCGATGCACACAAAAATTCCGTATATACAGGTCAGTTTCTCCTTTTGCACGGCGCTCCCTGAGTTCTTCTAATGCAGTTTTCAATTTGCTGCGTTGGTCCGGATCAAGATCCTTGAAGAATGGCACCGGAATTCCCTTCAGCTTTTGGGTCCACTGGAGTATCGCTTTGGCCTCTCTTTCTGCTCAAAGGACTACTTTCAGTGGTCGGGGAGAATTATCCTGATGGGGTATTCCAAGCCTGAATGCCTTTTTTTACTCTGATCGATACCACTGGTTCCACCTCGTCACCATCAGACAAAGTAACCATGTGCGACCTCAGCAGCTGCAGGTCGCGGTCCAGACGATCCTGGCCAGTGGTGGCCTCGGCCTCCGGAAGATTGTCAACGATAAGGCACTGAGATCTCGGAGGGAGCGTCCTCTGCTGCATAGGTTCCTGCGAATCGCGGGGGCATCTCTCAACTGTCTGTGACATGTTNAAGGACGATGCAGCAGACGATATCCGTGCCTTTTTTTGGTTGCTTCTGCTGCGGTGCAGCTGCAGGAGATGCCTTTTTAAGTCGAGTGGAAATGACATCTGCACAACAGTGGCGGGCGTTATGGGGGTCAGAAAGTTTTTGGCAGTAGAGATTTGTTCTCCTTGGAAGAAATGACCAAGTATCTGCAGCACATGATCTTCAGGAATGGAGAGGGGCATTTTTGTAGCCATTCGTATTTCTCTGCGTCGATTTGGGTGCATTTGAAGTGCAGCCACCCATCACACCCATCACAACGGAGCACTTCGAACCTGGGGCCAAGACTCCTGGAGTAGGATACACCTACTCACCTATCGAAAGCTTTTGACAAGTGCCACATCGTCAACTGAGTAAATAGCTAGTCAAGTGTGGAATATCATGTAACCTTCTCAGGTACTTGAAGGACTACTTAACCGATCGAAACTTTAAAGTGAGGGTGAAAAGGTAGCTTTCAACTCCTCACCCTGTGCCCNTCAATACCGGGTCCTGTGCTATTCATAATATATATTAACGACCTGCCGCAATCCTTTACGTCAAAGGTTCTTGTATACGCCGATGACGTCAAGATTTGAAGAAGCATCCACAATGAACAGGACAGGGACCTTCTGCAAAGAGACCTCGATTCCATTGATAAATGGAGCACGCAGAACGGTCTACTCCTGAATCACGCCAAGTGTCACGTGATTCATCTGAGGGGTGAGCCTGTAAGAGGATTCTTCGTCCAATCCATGCTTCTAACAGTTGTAGAGAAAGTTAACGATCTCGGGTCAATCCTAACCCGAAAAAGTAACTTCTCAAACAACTGCGTCCGAATGGCTAAAAGGGGAAGCTTCATCCAGCACTTCATCGTCAGATCCCTCGGAAGAATGGAGCCCGAACGTTTCAGGCTAATGTTAAACACGTACGTACGACCGCGCCTGGAATACAATATACCGACTTGCCCACCAGTACTGATGAAAGATAAAAAAGTCCTCGAGTCAGTTCAACGCAGGGCAGCAAAATCAGTTGTAGGTCTTAGGACGCAGAAATTAGATGATGGAACGGACTTCCAGAAAGCATTTGACTCAGTGAACCACAGGTTATTAGGTTTCAAGCTCCGGGAAACCGGGATTAATCCGAAATTCATTACTGGGTTAGAGCGTTCTTGTCCGGGCGAGTGCGGAAGCGGGTTCGGGGATGTCTGTCAGAGGTGGGTTCCCCACGAGCGGGGTCCCACAAGGATGTATCCTAGCTCCCCTTCTCTTTCTAATGTATGTTATTGACATAACGTCAGGGCTAGAGAACCCCTGCGTTTTGTACGCGGACGAAATCAAGTTACTTGGAAACCCGGAAGACAGGTACTCCTTGCAGAGTAATATCTTGAAAATATGCGAGTGGTCGCAAAAATGGGACCTCCCACTCAACGCATTGAAGAGTCATCTGCTATCCAAAATAACGCATCCCGTCCCCTGACAGATCCTCACCACGATCGGAGCATACGCAACCCTAGTCCACAAATCAGAGGCAATGGACATCGGGATAAGAGACTCCAACACCTTCCCCGTCTTCTACCGCTGAAGCAACAGCCTTGAAAGCCAGGAAAGCTCTGTTTAGACTCCGAACGGCAATCACAAACCGTTGTCCTAGTGTATTCATGCCCCGTACACAGCCATCGTAAGGCCTAATCTCGAGTACTGTGTTCAGGCTTGGGTACCGTATCTTCGGAAGGATATCAAAGTTCTACCCGGATGGTCTGGGGTCAAAAAGGACTCAACTACTCGGAAAAAGCTCCCTGAACCTGTTCTCTCTATAACGCCACCAGATGAGGGGGGACTTCATTGAAGTGTACAAAGCCTCAAGGAGCATTGGGCATTTGTTCACCCTGTGGGCCAACAACATCCTCCAAGGGCATTGTCACACACTTGTGAGAACCAGGAGCAGGCTAACAATTAGATATCACTTCTTTGCAAACAGAATAGTCCTTGCATGGATCAAATTACCAGCTCAAATAGTTGAATGTCACACAATGAAGGATTTCAAATTAGAGCTGGACAAGGAGTGGTATTCCCAGATCTGCCCTAGAGATCAGAATTCCTTCAGTTTACTGATGGAATGCATGTAAAAGACACTGCGCCGTCTCCCTTTCCCTTCTACCTTTCAGAAATTACTCCCTCGTGGAGAGTCGGAAGAAGCTTTACACTCGTAGCGAGTTGGTCCACGGACGGAACCCGCCAGGACATCCAACAGGCGATTTGAATTTGAAATTTGAAATTTGAACTGAATTGATGTCGTTGTGCATTTGTTGCCAGACATAGGCCGAATGTCAAGCTAGTAAGAAACTACGCCAGGATAAACGAGGGGCTATTAAAAGCAGCTGCTGAAACCCAAGTTGTTTTCCTGATTCACTTGAATCATCAGTCGAAGAGCGATGGGTGGCAATACGAAACGGCTTACAATGGGTTAACTCAAGGGTTCGCTCCGTTGGTTCCGCATAGATCCAGAAGCAGACCCCCTTGGTGGTTACCCAGAATAGAAAGAGATCTCACGTCTCTTAGAAGACGGTGGGCTTTCTGCAAACTTCGCAGAACGCATATTGCCTGGGTCAACTACAAGTTGGCCAGAAATAAGGCACAGACAATGCAGCTGGAAGCCAAGTTCGATTATGAAAAGAAACTAGCTAGAAACATCAAAATGAACCGAAAGGGTTCTTTGCCTATTCGCAATCCAAGGGAACCACACGTGAAAGTGTTGGAACCTTGGAGATGGTAAATGTAACATAGATAGCACGAACAAGGACAGGGCTGAGACGCTGATGGACTAGTTCAGAAGTGTCTATCGTCCATCCCAGGGTAATGGAGTCCTGAACCCCTTGGTGGAAACCAATGAACACGAGCTGCAAATGATAATCGTGAGGTAGAACGAGGCACGGACCGAGCTCAGAAGCATGTGCAAGCATAAGGTGGCGGGTCGTGATGAGATCCACCCAGCTATCGTCCAGCTGCTGGCAGAGGTCATACCAGGACCTGTCACTGAATTGTTTAAAGCATAACTGAACTCCGGCGTAGTGCCAGAGGATTGGCGGAAAACAATCGTCGTAGCAACATATAAATCGGGGTCCAGACAAAAGGCGGAAAACTACAGGTCGATTAGCCTGACATCATTGTTATGCAAATGCCTAGAACGAATAGTCCGAAGACAAATCTGTACGCATCTGGTGACTCATAGACTTCTATCTCCTGCATAGTATGGGCTTATATATATATACATTTTACACCGGCTTGAGAACAAGCCGGTTTACCAAAAACAAGTCGTGCTTAACCAATCTAATTATGTTTCTGGACGAAACTACACGTCATTTGGATCAGAGTAGAGCAGCGGAGACATGCTAATTAGAATTCAGCAAGGTTTTTGACTCGGTGAGTCTTACGTTCCTTGACCAGAAACTACCAACGTTGGGAATACTCGGGGCAACGCGTCAGTGGTTGAAGCAATTTCTCGGCAACCGTAGCTTTACTGTACGAGTTGGCAGCCACAAATCGATAGCAGAGAGGGTTACAAGCAAAGTGCCCCAAGGCTTTGTTCTCAGGCCCCTACATTCCTTCCGTTTATCAACGACCTCCCGCAAGAAGTACACAACCACTGCTCCATCTTTGCGGACGATGTGAAGATAGAGGGTGAGAACTTAAACAAGGACTTATATGCGGTCCGCAGCCGATCGCCTCGATGGGATTTATCCCTGAATCTTGCCAACTGTCAGCTACTGACTTGTATTCAGTAAAACTCGTAATATGCACCTAAGTAGATCCTTTTGATTAGCAGAAAACGGTACCAACGTAATTCATGTAATATCGCTGAAGCATGTCCTCAGCCGGTACTGGCCGTACAAGTAATCAGCAGTCATCCAATCAATACCAAGCATACACATGGTGCAGTCTGATTGGTCAATGTAATCAATGTTGCATGTGAGGAACGTCCAAGTCACGTGCGTGTATGTCTGTACGTCTGTGTGTGTATCGAGTATTGATGTTGCGCGTTCAAGGGGGCAATGAACACAAGTGTTATCGAACAGATGCGGTAAACGGCACATTACTGACTACCAATGTAGACTCAACCGGGAGCGCCGCGCTTCGAGGTATGACTGGGGTCAAAGACCTAGGAATAATTGTCACAAAAGACTTCCGGTCTACTGAGCAATGTCAGGTGGCTGCTACTAAACAAGATGAGTACTTTCCAAACTGTGGACCACAATCACCTGCAGGTGGCAGAAGTGTTCGTTCCACTTTACAAGGCAATGATGCGTCCACTACTGGAATACTGCGTACAAGTTTGGACCCCATTGTAACGACCAAAACGCGATTGTCCTGGTCCGAGGGAAAAGAATAAGACCTCGTCTGTATGCGTTCAATCAAATGATCCTTCGCTTGTTCTGGATAGCGATAAACAAATCTCAGAGCAACACATAGCCCAAATTATCGAGAACCAAGTTGATCCAAAAATAATCTACGGTACTATTTTCGCATTACTCACAAATACATAAGGCAGTCATACCTCCAATAGTGAGCCTGATTCACTATCTAGCCAAAATGTTACAAATATTCACAGAAAACATCCGCGGTAATAAAAAGTAAATTAGAAAATGAGTGATTTGAACTACCTTTCAGATAATTCTGGACCAACAGGAAAATTCTGCACGCTTCAACAGGTCAAGCAAAATAATCTTGAGCGTTACAGCCAAAAAGGATACAGTATAACCAAAAGCAACGGTTAGTTCAACAACGAGCGTCCAATCGAAACTTTGGTCGCAATAAAACAAGAAAAAGCACTGAATCTCATTTACATGTAAGAGCAAAGCACTTGAAGTGTGTGTTCAATAGATATGCTTCAACGTAAAAAAGGTGAACTAGAAAGTTCAGAGGAGAAGATTTATCGACATGAAAACCACTGTCGGAAAGAATGCACGATAGAATGGCGAAGAAAGATAAGAAAATGCAAGGTAATTGAGAGCAATTTTCAGTCCTTTTGACTACTACACCCATACTATCGCAAAGATATGAAGTGTATAGAGAGAGTGCAACGCCTGGTAACCAGAATGGTCACTGAACGGATAGGAAAAAGCTACTCGCAGCGTCTGCATGACCTGCATCTTTTCTCGCTGTAACGCTGAAGGACCAGGGGCGACTTGATTGAATCCTTAAAGATAGTAAAGTGGTTGTTTGGCATAGAACTAAGCAGCCTCTTCGTTCCTGCTCCGACTTTTGGCACTATAGGTCACAACCTTAAGCTGCAACGAGAGCACTCCAGGTTGGAGTTGAGGGCCAGGTTCTTCACGAATCGTGTGGTGCTTCTATGGAACAGACTACCATAGACTTTCATAAGCTGCTCAACAGTTATGACCTTTAAAAAGGCCTTGGATATATGCTGGGACGGGATATTCCCTGAGATGGCCACTTGGAAGGCGACGAAGGAGCAAGGTCAGCTTGTTCCTATATATATGTATGTCATACATATCTGGTGGATGTGATACCTCAGGAAGCATGAGGGTCCCCTTGAGCGTACCAAGGGGATGCTCATGGGCACTTGAAATACGGAGCACCACCGGCCGGATATATACCCTCCAGTTCCCGAAAATACTTAGACGTATTATTTGTCAAACCTTATTCATCCACTACCTTTTTTCATCTAGCAAATAATGACAGGCTGTTTTTCCACATTTTCTATACATCCTGATCGACAACGCGTCCCAATTTTAACAGTTTCGTAATCCAACGACCTATTTTATGGTTCGCAATGAAATAAAACAATATTTGGAGGTAAATGAAAATTTCATTACAAAGAAATATATTTACACAGATTGGTTCAATCATCATCCATGGTTCATTCTCCGTCCGACGGTTCAATATTTCCTTCATCGTCATCTGAAGTGGAAAGCAGAAACTGTCGCTGTAGTTAATGCTAAACCCTTACTTAAAATACACAATCGAAATATATTTTTAAAAATAAGCTCACCTCTGTTAGCCTTGTCACTAGCAGCAATTTCTACTACTTCCAGTCTAGACTGTGGTCTCGATCTCTGGATCCATCTCTGTATTTTTAATATCACAAAACGTGACGTGTCCGGATAGTTATTTTTTCTAGTACAGCATCTGTAAAATGCGGTCGAAATAAGCAACCGAATGGCATTGGCTTACCGATGATTATTTTGCAAACTTTTATGTCCGCAAACGGTAGTTTTCCGTTAACACCTCGCCAGTTGATCTCAATCAGCAGGTTGTCCGATGTAAATCTCTTCATAATATTGCGTGTGCAGTCGGCTGACGAATAACCTCGGAATTTGCATAGATTTTGTAACTGAATTATGACATCCATTGAAACTGTTTTACTTACCACTTCCCGGTAGATAATCTTATCTTTCAATTTGTTTTCCAGAAATTTAAAATCCTCAAGGGATTTTATGGGAACGGCTACCGGAATTGATTTGGTGCTTTCAGCATGTGGCATATGATTATTGAGTAGATCCAGCTTTTTATCAAGCTTGGTGAATCCGTCAATTAATGGCTGGACAATTTTTTCTTGGTATGCTAAGAAAATTATATATATGGATGATTCGACTTGCCTAACATGGACTTCAAATTGTTGCACAATGTTGACAAAAATTGTGAGATGTTTTCTAACTCCACACACAATCTCTCAGCGTTTGGCAGCTTTGAATCATTCGATTTGAGACTGAAAACGATATAATTATAAGTCACTCCGTACCTCCCCTTTGGTGTTTACACGGACTTCGGGGTACAGGACGCAAATTATATAGATGGAAATTATAAGCTGAAAGTGATTACGGATATGGTTACGCATACTTAACCTCCTGGGTTGTTCCAGGTATTAGTATTTCTGGTTCATTTTCCATTAATTCCGGTCGTGGCGGTATCTTGGGTGGTGGTAGTGAATCATCTAAATCTACCAACCGCTTTGATTTTATCGAACTTTCATCCGATTCGCTTGAATCAGATGAAAAACGTTTCCATTTCCTAAAAACATGATTTAAATTAAAAAATAAACTTATCTTTTCCTCTAATCGGACATCTGCATACGACCCGTAGCATCCGTTGAGGGGAGTTCACTTTTTTCCTCCAATATTACCTATAAACGACAGGTTTTGGAATATTTTTCTGAATACTAGCTAAATGCACAACTGTACTCACCGACAATTCTGTGTATGCGTGCATCATACAATTTTGAGTTTGGTGGGGGGAAGCTTTTGCGTAACAATGCGCTCCACTTCCGCTGCGTATCTTCGTACCCAATTGTGGTAATCGCAATAGTACTGAATGTGGAAATACGAAAACCCTTAATGTACTGCTCAGAACTGAATTGGCTCCAATCTGAACCGCGGACACTAATGAAATACACGAGGAATTGATAGCAGCAGTTGCTTATGTTTATTGATGGAATTAGATCATGCTTTATGAAAGGTAATAGTCCATATCATTGGTTGAACGAGCATTCTCTAATCACGTAACCGTTTGCACGGACGCAACACATGTACTAACTCGGATATCATGTTCGTCCGGTCGAGATTCCTGAACGGTGATTGGATGACATGAAACTGTACCTGGTTGTGCATGAATTGCGGTCACGGAAGTCTGAATCACCACACCAATGTACTTTGTTGTCACGAGCCACCCATGTATTTTTTACAGTCGCCACAATATTGCCCACCAGAAACTCTACGATGAAGAACATCTGTGTTAGAATAATAAATGTAGTCAGAACATGTCGAAAATCAACACAACCGTTAGCAATGGATCTCACCTTGATTTTCTCCAAGCATTTATCATCCGGATGAATACCCAGTTGTCTTCATCCGGGAGCAGAAGACATTGACACTATGTCTTTACTGTTGACAGTGTGATACTGATGTTATACACTGCTACACCGGAAAATTTTGACATGAGAAGAAGACAGTGGTTTCATGTAGTAGTCATCAACATTTAACAACGATGAAATTAAGAGATTTTCACCGTGTGTCTGTTTGAGGACTGACGGAGGATTGTTGGCCAAAACTACGTTATCAGGGCACTT